ACCTTCAAGATAGGACATCTAATATCGGCCTGTTTAACAAGTGTAATATTGAAGGAATCGAGACGTTTCTCATCAGACATTCTCAAGACATGATTATCTCACAAAATTTCATAACTGAATCAATTAAGCTGTCAGATCCTCATACATCGAAAACAACAGGAGAGTCCATTTTTTATATATATATATATATATATATATATATATATATATAAAAATGAAGTGGTGACTTTATTTTAATCATAGAAAAATTTAAAATTCCATGTTTCTTGAATAAAAACAAATTTATTTTGGTTATCTGCTGCTAACTAAGAACAGGCAATTAAGAACAATTACATACAATGAATAAAAATCACTGCATAATGGAATTTTTTCACACTATTTTCCCCATCTTTATTTATTTTTATTCCCCCACATTGGCCGTGTATCTTTTGGCCTTCTTCAGGTGTTATATTAACAATAACGTGAAGAAGGACAAATAATATTATTAATTAGGTATTAAATTGAAACGTTTTAAGGGAGATAATTCTAAATCATTTTATGACTGACTAATGAGTTATCTCCCTTGAGTTCCAATTCTGAAATGATTCTACAGGTTGATATATAAATTTGTGCCTCAGTAGGAACGAACGAGTAGGGGAGTTTGCTTGCCTCTTTTGAAAATCAGAATTCGTTAATCTTTTTTTTTTCCGTGCATGTGTTCGATCTGTAGCTGCAGTCACCAGTAGGAAATATACTACTAAATCAGCAAAAATTACTAAGCTCTTTATTTTGTGCATTGACCATTCTTGTAAAGTTAATTTTTCAATAACTTGTGTCCGTGTTAAGAATTTATCATTAAAAAACATTACTGTTAAAATATACTATTTAATTATTTCAGCATCAGAAGCTGTATATTCTAAAACTTGAATCTTTTTGTTTAAATACATTCTGTTAATTAGAATGGACAGGTTAAGTCTAACTGTAGTGTTACTGTTAATTTTTTAAGCCAATTTTTTTTTTTTTTTTTTCTTAAATTTCTCTTGGTACTGAGAACGCCATTCCATGTCAAGTGGAAGTTGTGTTATGTTGCAAGTGCTTTCGATCATTGTTGGTCATTTTCAAGGAAAGAAGAGAGAAAATCTAGTATAGTTAACAATTCAAACTCCAAAGTTTAAAATAAACACAGATTCACATGCAACAATGATGTTTTAGTATGTCAAAATTAATCTTACAAAGACTTAACACCATGTCTAGATTGAAACCAATTTCTATTGACAGTGGATTACTTTCCTATTATTTTCCACCTCCATAAGAATATTAGGGCTTTGCCGATAGCCCACATTAAAAGAGCTAAAACTTCAGCCCTGTGTCACATTTATCCACGCACCCACGTCGCAACAGAATAACTACTAAGAACATTCATCATATACTACAAAAAATTTTTTTCTATTTGTTATAAATCTATGGATGATATTTCATTGCTTTTTCATTTATTGGAGTGTGTCTGGTTAAATTAAAAATAGTATTTTTTTTGTTGTGGTTTAAAAAAGTTCTGGTATGCCCCCCCCCCCCATATTTTTTATTATTAGACTGTGATCGGGAACACTTGTTTAATATTAGATTAATTTTTTTTAAATAGAAAATTGTTTATAGATGAAGAGATTAATTTTGCATGGTTGATATAAGACAGCCTTATTTAAAAAAAAAAAAAAAATTCTATTTTGTGCATAAAAATTTTAAGCCCAATTTTTTCATTTAAATATGATTTAAAAAAAAAAAAAAAAAAAAAAAAAAAAAATTTAATATTTTAATGGAAGCAACAGTAATTACTTCTTTTTCTTGATTTTTAATCCTTTTACCCAAGCAAAGTGATAAAAGCACAATGGGGTTACTGACAGTGAAAGAATGTGAGAAAAATTATTAAGGAGAGAGACTCAAGGAGATAGATGACAATTGACATTGAACTTTAAAAATTTAAATGCAAAGTTGATTGGAACTGTCTTCCAGCTTCTTGTTTCCCAAAAGTGAAAAAAAAAAAACAAACAAACAAACAAACAAACAAACAAACTTAGCATAGAATTTATGCTTACATGTAGCAATTTCAACTAAAATGGGGAGACCAAAGTGCCAATCTAGTACTGTGTTCAATTCATAAATTTCATGCACACATCACAGTGGAGTAATGGATAGTGGCCTGGATTGATGAATTGGAGAGCCAAGTTAATTGCATTTACTTATGTGCTAATTCTCCCGCTAGCTATAGCTAAGTAACAGGACAGACTGGGTCCTATAGGCTTCTGTAGCAACCGACCTAGGTTTTGAATTCAGAGTTCACCTCCTGAGGTGGGTTTTTTTGACAGCCTTGTGGCTTACTGTGCACCAGTTCTCTGAATCCAGATCTTCCAAAAAAATGTGGTTCGTTCTACACAATCTTTCACCCCTATAATCAAATCATGTGCAGGTAGCCTGGCTTTTGGTTCTAAGAACACATATGTTGAAAAAAAAAATTATATATATATATATATATATATATATATATATATAGAGTGATGGTCATGCTCAACATCAATGTAGCAGGAATTAGAGAGAGTAACTATGATGGCCCTTATATATATATATATATATATATATATATATATATATATATGAGTACTGTTTGTTAGGTTCATGCCTCTGGCAGACTTTTGATGCTTGCTAACCCCATGACAATGTATTGCAACTGCTTATGTAAAGTTACTGGAAGGGTGCTGATATCCTTAGGGTGGGGGTATGTGTATTCTGGCAGAACTCTGTTCTCTGGGTCACGAGTCTTAGCTAAGTTACCAGGAAATTTCCTGATCATCCCACTTGAATGCTCTGGACCCCTAAAATTACTAGTATCAAATGGGAGATTAACCAGTCCCCCCCCACACACACACACATCATTTACAGTGCTGTGGGAGGGAGGATCTTGGGGACACTAGAAGAGTCAGTGGTTGTGACCAGACTGTTTCAGACCCAAAGAACAACCATCATTTGGAGAAAAAGAAAAACACACACACAACATTCATTTTGTGGAAAAGCAGGGGAAAAAACCCAATGTCAAAGTTGCACTGCTTTCTTTGAGTTACCAATGCCAAGCTCCTTCAATGTTCAAAGTGTGCAGATGCTTAAACAATGAACATACAGTCATCCTTTGGTCTAGACTTGCACCAGGGTTAATATTGATTAAAGTCTTTATACCATTTTTTTTTTTTCAGTTGCTGTAGATGTCTTCCAATCCATACATTTTGTACAACAGGTATGTTTTTTCTTTATAATTTCCTAATTAGCTGCATACACAGGTATTGGCACTAATCCATTTCCCCTCAATCTGACAAAACATTTATTTTTATAACCCTTGCTGGGCTTCAAGCCAGAAATTCTTCTGCAAGCCAAAGTATTTATTTATAGATCTCACTATAAAAAAATAGCTCATTTCTTCTTCCCTTCTAAATATATTCAATAACACAAACTTTCAAGAGAAAATACTAATTGTGTTAGTTATTGCCTAGTGGCAATGACCTTATAAGGTTCAGTTTGAGATTTTCTGGGTCAATAGGGTCTTTAGAAGTGTGTTTAGTAAATTGTAGACAGACCTTACTGATATTGTCAGAGCCTGTTGATTGAGAAATGACAATTTAATAATGATTTACTACCAATCTCCTGAAAATTTTATTATTTAAATAATGTTAAAGTTAAGTTATTCAATATGTATAATTTTCAATTTGAATGTTATTGGTTTAATCTACCTCTCAGGTGATGAGGAGAAAAAACACAAACACCCATGTCACAAGGGGGTGTTTTAATTTCAATTCATCCACAATGGAATTTTTTTTTTTTTTTGGGAAGTAGATCAAGCCAGTAACTTTTATGAACATCCTTTGTAAAAAAGAAAAGAAAAAACACAAACATTTATTGCAACTTTAAAGGAACGTTTATTTCACAAAAATTATACCATTAACAGCCATCCCCAATATTCAATTTTTTCTTATCGCTCTCCCCTCTCCACCAAGCATAGATGCTGAAGAAGCTTTTAGATAATAACCTGCTGATAATATTAACAAAGCATATAAAAATTGAAATAGTTTACATGCATTGTTCTAGACAATTTTGCAAAATAAAATAATTTCAGGTTATTTATTGCCTTTAATTATCAAATCTTAGTGTTTGGGGCCGATTGATTTTATTATCTAAATAATCGATGTTATAAACAGCTTCTTTAAGTGAATTACTTTAAAATGATATCAGTTGAACAAATAGAAATTTATAGTAAGGCACCCAGTAAGGATTGTTAGTATTCTAGCTTGATAGCCTCACTCTTTGACTGGTTGGGACACCTGTTTGTCAATGTATTGACACACAAAAATATTTATTTTCTGGGCTATATTTACAAACAATATATATCTTTATACCCAAATAAATGTTTAGTTTTAACTGTATAGCTTAAACTTAAAGTTTTATAAATAAAGATGTCTTTAGAAATAAACAGTATACAGCTGTTGGCTGTGAATACACAACATCATAGAATGCTATTGCCTTTCAAACCTCATCAGAAAATTTATAGTTTAATGTTAGTGTAGGCTATTTTTTATTGCCTTTTATAACATTAAAAAGTTTTTAACTTTTATTCTCTGTACTGCAAAAAATAAAAAAATAAACAACACATTCTCAGATACTTAGGATATTTCTGGAAAATTGTGAGTTAGTTTCAAAATATTGTCTCATTGATTGTCTGCTAAAATGATTCAAACAAGATTTTAAAGGCCAGTTTTTCACAGCCTATCTTTTATTCTCCTCCTCCTCCACTGCCATCACAAGCATTAGGAGGTAATATATATATATTATGATATATATATATATATATATATAAAAACAAACCTAGTGAGTCTTGAGACTACAGATTATGTTCCTCAAACATATTGGCAGACAGTTTTTTTTTTATGAAACATCTAAAGTGCTCATATGCTTAATATCTAAAATGAAAGATGTTTAAGCTGGATTCAAATTAAACATGGAAATAACTCAGGAAATAATATATCGTCAACTGGGTTCATGTCATTAAACTGGAGAAGTGATTGTTCTTGATAAGGAGAACTTGGGTTGCTGTAATCACTGTGAATGCCAGAATCACTGCCAGAGTCAGTAATGCTACCTGTCTTTGGTAACTTATTAACAATCTCAACATTTTCATCCTCAGAAGTTCTCTTGCGATTGGTGGGGATCAGCGAGGTGGTTTCGCTTTCTTGTGCTGGCATGTCACAACTTTCATCATTCTTCATTAACACAGAATCTGGTAATTCTTCTGAAGTTGTCATTCCTTCATCATTGCTTAAACACTCCTTCATAAGATTTTCAAACAGCATCATGTTTTCCGCAAAGGAGAAACAATCATCTGTTAAGGACAGGAACTCTTCTTTTACAGGCATCGCAGATGGGCTGGACTCCTGAACCTCTTCGTTAGGAGAGACTTCGTCCTCGTCACTACTACAGCCGGAAGATGAGCTGCTGTCTTCAGCAGATGAAGGAGCATACTTCACATAGAAGTGTTCGGACTTGATTAGTTCATTGAGGGAGTCCAATTGTGTTGGTGAGGCCCCCACCACTGGGTGTGGACTCTGTGCTGGACAAGCAGCATTTTTTTCTTCTCTTTCACTAGACTCTGTTGTTGTTGAAGGAGTTGTGCAATTGTCAAGGGATGCACCAGTGTCTGAGCCGTACACTTCATCCAGAAGTGTGAACAAATCACCAGACTGCAATAAAGAAAACAAAGAAAAATAAAAATCTAGAGAAAAAAAAAAAGGATGTCATATGCTGTAAGAGGGATGATCATGTGTTAGTTTAAAACATTTATCATTGTATAAATTGCACTGTTCGTCACAAACTGTACTAATTCTAAATAATTTAATTTAATGTTAAAAATATATATAAATTAATGAGATTTTGTAATTTATTAACACTTTTCAGCCCACCCCTTTATGGCTACAAGCAGTAAAAGTTCATAGGCTGACTATGAAGTAGTGATGCTAGAGCTGTGAAATCTTGCAAGCATTAATTTCAACTCTTCTTATTAATAACTGCATTGTTTCTTTCCAGGTAAACTGTTTTCAAGAGAAATTGCTGTTAGTTACTTTTGAAGTTTTCTTTGAACAGTCAGGAATCAGACAAAATTTGGCATCATGGTATTATCAAATACCTGCAGAAAAAGGGGTTTAGCCACCCCCATGGACATTTATGCTGACATGGTTGATTTTAGGAGGGGAAGACAGTATGGACATGACCCACAACTGCCACCACCAGGGGGAAACATTGTTAGTATTGGGTATTTGTCACTATGTGGTAAACACTATTAGCATTTACCATGAGAGATGGCTATAAATCGAGAATATTCTGCACAATGAAATTGGCATGATGAAGGTTACTGCATATTTGCACCACATCCGACACCTGATCAAAAACAAAACAGGCTGATTACATCACAGGAAAATCTGACATTGTTTGAGGCAGATCCAGTTGGTTTCCTAACCTAGGATGAGTGTTGGGGTCATCACTGAGCCACAGACAATCCATGCAGTGGAAACACCCGTCTTCATCTGCAGCAAGGGCCTCAGTTTTTTTGGGATGCAAAAGTCAATAAATACAATGCCTATCTTCAAAAGGCCACACTATCAATGCACAGTATTAAGCCAACTTGCTGAGACAATTATGAAAGGTTATCAAAACCAAACCTCCAGGAAAACTGACAAAAGGGTCTGGTTTCATAAGGACAATGCACCAATACACAAGTCCTTGGTTTCAAGGACTGCTGTATGCGACTTATTCTCCTGATTTGGCACTATATGGCTAAGCTGAAAAAAAAAAAAAAAAAAAAAAACTTGACAGTATCTCAGTGATGACAGTATATCTACTGTTGATGACTTCTTTACAGTTCACACTTCTTCACAATGCTTGGTAAAGGGGACTATATTGAAAACTAAACCTTATTTGGTCATATTCCATGAGAGTATTTTGGTCAGACTATTAACTTTTCAGCCAACCCTTGTATTTATATATCCTTATAAAAACTTACACTGCCTACTAGACAATTTCAAGACACCATGAAATGGCTGTTCCTAACATTTGCGTTATGAACTAACAAGCATTTAGTGCTATTTCAAAACCAGCATGAATATGTAGTAGCCTATATTACAATCTGTTTTGTGATGTATTTTTTTTTATATTGTTCATTGGAGCAGCATTTAGCTGCCACTATTTTGGTTTCGGCAGGATATTTTGCAGTACAGACTATCAGTTTCTCTAGTTATTTATAAATGGCAATTATTTTTCCCCAAAAATAGGCCAGCACAGCAAGGCAACAATGCAGCAGTAAAAGTATTCATTTTTAAATTTTTTTCTTTCAATTTGAAAATTCAGTTTATGAGCATAAAAAAATTGTTTTTTTTTTAAACTTACCTCAGGAAGCTGGTTAATTGCATTATCAAATGAGACAGAGTCAGAGCCTGTTTCTTCAGCTGAGGAACAGAAGGTTCTGCAGACCTTGGGGACTTTGGCTCTGCCTTCACTAATGATGCAGATTCACCTGAACTTGACACCTTGCTTTCTCCATTTTCAAGTAGACCAAGCCTATGTTGCAGCTCTGCATTCTCTGTGGCCAACTCATAAGCCTTTTTCTGTAGTGTGCTATTATATTGCATAAGTCTTTTGTTTTCAGCCTGCAAATTGGCTATGGTCTCTTCCATGTCATTCATCTGCGCTTTCTTTCGGTCACGAGCAGTCTGTGCGGCTACTCTATTCTTGAGTTTCCTGAAGAAGCAAACCAACAAGATTAGACATTTATGGTTAAATCAGCATGATAAATATTTATATAATCGATAAATTTTTCAATAACAAGTTTACTGAAACGTTCCATTTAGAAAAGTAAGTATCTAACTAATTTATCAGTAAATAACAAAGATGGACAATCCCTAAAATTAGTCAATTGAAATGGGAGAAAGATTATAGCTTTGTATATGGATTTTCCTTAGAGTACAACATTTTATTATTGCTATTAAAACAGGTACACTTCAAAAGTAAATAAAACAAATATGTACCAAATGTGTGCTACAGATTTAGAGGTAAGGTAATTTGTTCCAGTGGATGATGCACAGTAATGAATAGCAGCTCTCAAATTCCAGTCCAGTTTATTACATGTGAATACCTTTGGAAAAGGTGTAAAGCTTTCTCTTCTTCCCCTAACTATGGGTAAATAGCAGGAAATACTGGCTCCTATATCCTTGATGACTAGCCAAGAAGAAGGAAAACTGAATTCAAACCATCCAGAAGGTTGGGCTTTATGAGGTTATCTTGTCAAGCAAACACCACTTCTCTAATGGGTTATGGGAGTTGTGATAATTTGTTCTAAACCAATGTAAAAAGTAAATTTACATTGACAAGTCTTTGATTTTTACCTAAACTAGAAATGTTAATGAATTGTCAGTATTTATTTTTGTTTCTTCACATTTCTCTAACCCAGATTAAATCACAATTACCATTCTGTTGCCGAATAAGAGCAACAAAAAAAAAAAAAAATATATATATATATATATATATATATATATATATATATATATATATATAATAATAATAAAAAATTTTTTTTTTTTTTTTTTTTGCTGCCTTGCTCACCTGTACTCATAAGTAGGTATTGCATTATTGCAAGTTGGACAGTCAGTTAACTTAAGTACTGACTTGAAAAAACTTTACATTTTTAAATGTGTAATATAAAGTTCAAATAATTTTATTCTCTCCCAAATTTGTGCTGAGTACAGCTTAGTCTGGTACAAGGATCATAAATCACAATACAGGAGGAGTATTATTAATTACTAATTACATAAGATCATACGGATACAAATAAATTTGCAATTTCTCAACTTCAAATGTAACCTCATTTTAAATTTGCACAAAAAAAAAAAAAAAAAACAGAAAAAAAAAAAAAAAAAGGAAATGTCAGAACAAAAACTTTTTTTTTGTCATTAAAATCATCCGCTCAAAAGGCAATAATCAGTTAAAATGTCGAGTGTTGCTACAATGCAACATGTGGTGGCAATCCATCCAGTTATCCGACAAAAATGATATTTTCAAAACAAAATGCACGGCCTTGTACCATATGCAAGAAAAAGTAACATCTGTTTGAACTTTGGTTCCTCCCACAACTACAAGTAATTATTCTGTTTTTTTTTGTTTTCCTACCTAAAACCTCAAATTTTTACCAATTTTTAATTAATTATCGTGAAATTTTTCTGCACATAAGAAAAAAAAACACAAGATAAAAATCAAACTAATTTTATTTTTCTTTGTGAATAATAATAATTTAAGAAAATAAATAATACTTATTGTACGTAAGCAAGATATTATTAAAACATACACAAGTAAGAATTCTGAATGATATTCACAACGTTTTACTTTTTTACGTAAGGAAGACTTAATCCCAGAAACACACCCCTTAAAATTTTTAAGATAACTGGCGTAAAAGGGGGAGAATTAGAGAACATCACAAATGTTACAAAGTTGTGATCAAGTACAGTCATCAAATTAAAACTGGAGGAATAGTAATTTAATACTAATAGTAAAACTTGAACATTTTTTTTAACAATGCTAAATTAAAAGAAAAAAAAGGCTCCAGAAAAATCATTTAGGAATTAAAAGGCTATCCAAGGATTTAAAAAAAAATATTTTCACTCAGAAATCAATTAACTTTTTTTGTGAGTTCATTAGAACACATTTGTAATTGAGTCTATTTCTGAGAATGTCTTTAACAGGAAAAATGCTTATTTTTGATTTTGAAGTACGATACTCCAAGTATCGATTTATTATTCGTTCTTAAAAGAGAAACACTGCGAGTGTAGTAAAAAAATAATTGCCTAAATTAAATACCTCAGCCACGTTTCTTAAGATCGTAAAGCAGCCACAAACTGGTGGTTGCAATTTATTATCAACTGGTGTCCGTCATAATTGTTAGCAGACGTGATGAAGGAAGTAGTTTCCTTCGTCATAACGCTTGCTAACAATTACAAGCTAGATTTTTTGTATCCGCAAATAACTTCGTAGACGTGAAAAGCTAAAAAAGGAAGAATTCACATTATCAACTAGTTTTCTAAAATACAACCATGACCAAAAAATTCAAATAACCTTTTTTAAATTCACTATTTTTTCAAGCTGATCTAGTCAGAATTTTTTTTTTTTTTTAAATAATGAACAGGTTATTTTATTTTTAACAGTTGGACAAAAATATTTGAAGAATAAAATAGGAGCATAAACGGTAAAACCAATTCATCTAAAAAAAATTCAAAAAGGCAAAATTATTTCATCGATTTAAAAAAAAAAAAAAAAAAAAAAAAAATATACTGAATAAATACAAATTTAGAGAAGCTGAATTTTCCTGTTCAATGTCCTCTGAATAAAGACAAAAGTTTACCAAGATCAAGTTCCAAATATGAATTCAGAAAAACTTGAATGCATGTTAAAAAAAAAAAAAAAGCCAAGCAAAAGATTATTACACTACACTACAGTAATAATCTTTTGAATGGAGTAGTAATAATTTACGTATTACTCCATCCAGTGTTAACGAACTTTTCGACCTAACCCTTCTTATTTCAAGGTTTCATACAAGTTCAGTTAAAAAAAAAAAAAAAAAAATATATATATATTTGGTTTTATAATGATAAATAAATCTAATTAAATTTAATTAATTTAAACAAATAATAAAACAGCTTTTTATAGCTAGAAAGAGACTCAGTAAAGAAAAAAAAAAAAGCTGTATTCCCGATTTTCTTTTTCTGCTTACGTAAAAGAAAAAGTAAAAATATTTTCTTCCTAAAGTGGGTGTTGTATCCGGGTCAGCTGTGAAGGGAAATTAAAAAGAACCATATGGTTTATTTTCCTTCTTTAAAATTTCAAAATATGCCCACTTTAGATACAACTCCAATTCATGTACAATAAACTAGTTTTAGTTATTAATTTAAAAGTTAACTGGATTTTAAAAGAATGACAAAAACAGTAAAAAAAAAAAAAATTTGGCAACTGGAGACTTTTGAATTTGGGTAGGGACAGCTTCATGACAGTGTTGAACTGTGCAAGTCGTTGGTGTTTGAAATCAGGATTTTAATGATAATTTTCCAATCAATATCTTATTTGGAAGATTGATGAAGACGATCTTTAATAAGAAAATACTACAAAATATCAATTCAACAGATTTTTTTAGCCATAGTAATTTCACTATCTTAAGCAAAATAAAAACCAGTTGAAAAAGCATGAATTTAAATATTTACATATTTTACAATTTTTTTTTATTTATTTAAATAAAAATACAAGCGAGTGAAGTTCGTTTGTTTATTTTTGAAAGAATGACGAGAAGTCATGAAATAAGCGAAAACTAGAGAGAAAAAAAAAGTGAAAAGAGGGCGGAACTTTAGTCACTACAAATTCTTCAGTTTTACTTTTTGTACTTTTTTAAATTTAACTAAATAATCACACAGTAACAAACACTAAAACTAAGTTAAAAGATAAAAAAAAAAAGTTATATATATATATATATATATATATATATATATATATATATATGCCGCTTTTTTTTTTTTTTTTTTTTACTTCGCCCTGAGAGTTAAGGAGACCTAAGATTAAGATTTAAGAAGCTTAATAAAACGACTGAGGCGAGAATAAAAGTCGGATATTATTCACAACAGCAAAAAGATTTTTTTTTTTTTACTTTAAACAGAAAAAAAAAAATTACAAAAAATACTAATTTTAGTTAGACTTTAGAATATCAAAGAAGTATTTAAAAAAAATTTCAATAAGAAAATTTCGTTTAAAAAATCTACGCCGCTTCGAAGGATTTCGGCCTTTTTAAATTCTAAATTCCTTTTCTTTTCAGCATTAATAAAAAAAAAAAAAAATTTAAATGGTTTCTGTTGATTCAGGTCTTGTAAAAATAAGATGTATTCAGCAGTGTTAAAATACTTCTTAAATTTTAAGTATTTTTTTGATAAACGATGGAATATTTAAATCATATTTACTTTTTTTTTTTTAAACATCCTATTAAATTTCAATGGCGGAAGAAGCAGAAAAATCTTCTGAGACTAAAAAGTCAAGACAATTTTTATTTTTAATTATTAATTAATTAGCTTCATCGATATTTTCATTAGTTCATTGCAATCGTTTTGTGATTTAGTAATAATAACTTAGTAATTGTTTCTCCCTTTGTAATGATTTTATACGAACGTTATCGTAAACACTACTTTTTACTACCAATAAATATTTTCCTACAGTCAGCTCAACTATTTTTTTTTTTACTAATGTTGAAATATTCGAATCCGTTTTCTTGCAACAAATGAAATATTTTTCTTACGTTTATTGAACAGATTCGTTAATTACGTATTTGATACTAACTAGGCCAACAATTTAGGATTTTTTAAATTTAAAAGAGTCAATTATTAGTACTTAAAAACAAAAAAAAACAAAAAAACCTTAAATTTATTAAAATTTAAAAGTTAATTTTTCGGGACAGTAAAATTAGAAAAAGAGCCAAGTGTAAAAAATAAAAAAAAAACAAAGAACTCAGTGATACAATTGTATATTTGTACTTTTTTTTTTAAATTTAATCTTAAAAAAAGTAAAAAAACAAAATTGAATTTTTTCATCATTTATAAATAAAACTAAAAAAATTAGAAGCAGCTTGAAAAGAAAACGATCGAATTACTTCGTAAAAATAAATGTTTTTTTTTTGGTAAACACGTTTTTATTTTGATTGTTAATCTTACCTCCGAAGAATTTTTTCCTCTGGGGTTAAATGTGTCAGCCTTCGTCTCTTCTTCGGTTCTCCACAATTTGAGTTATTTGAAGATGCAGACGATGAATTTTGGTCATTAATACTATCATCAGAATCACTGTATCCATTTGAATTTTGTCCAAGTAACGTGGTCCATGAAGATGAACTTAAAGTCGATGGTGTAGTTACTGTAGTAGATGAAGAAGAGTAATTTTTTTGCTGAAGAGAAGATGTTGCATTTGTATTATTCGTAGATGATAACGTGACAGATTGCTTTGGCGACAGGAAACGATGAACAGGTGAAGATACTGTTGTTTTAATAACATTGGCTGTTGTTGGCACTTTCGTTGGACTGTTAGCGACAGCCAATGTTTTCACCATTATAGTTGTAGCTTTCATTTTGGAATTTTTATTACTATCAGTTGTTGTAATGGTTGATGGTACTTGTTGACGTAGTTGATTAGAACCGGTTGTAGAGATAATATAGGTATTTGGGCGACTGAAACCCGTAAAAGCCACCATCTTGCTTTATACTGACAATCGGTTAGGTTTCTTAATACTACTTAAAAACAACTGGATAGAAATGTTTCTTCTCTCAGCTGTACGTTACTTGTCTTTCTCTAGGCATCTGAAGTGTGTATACGGAATCCTTGGGAGAAAACTTCGAATAATATTTTATACTGGTCATTGATTGGTTGATTTGGAGATGACGTCAATGAGGAGGAGGAGGCGAAACTTTTTTCTTTTTTTTTTTCTACGGAAGAAAATAAGTGACAAAAAAATAGTAATTTTGTAATGAAAATATTTCAATACATCTGTTTGTTTACACAGAAAAATTTCAAAAGTTAAGACAAGTCACTTAAAGTGTTTGGTGGAGAGTGATGATTTGCTTAACAATAACATTCTAGTTTCATTCATTTACCGAGTTTGATCCTCACTTTCAGAAGCACCCTTTTTTTTTTGTAACACTGAATATTTTATAAACTAAAGAAAGTTTTTTAAAAATACTGGATAGTTAAAAATAAATAAATAAATAAATAATTCAAAAACAGTTGACCCAGTTAATTTCCAGTAGCGTTAGTGGTCGCTCAGGCAAGAAGATGCATATCCTGTATTTAATGCTGATTTCCAAAGCACGTATATTTTCCAAATTTATGAGATCGGTAAAAAAAAAAAAAAAAAAAAAAAAAAAAAATTCAATCTTCCTACGACTGTCTGAAATACTGTGTAAAGAATCAATATTTTCTGTTTAAGGTTTTTTTAGCTATTTATTCTTTGCAACTAAAAAAACAGTCACACTTTCAACAGCTGTTTGTCCCTAACAACTCAATTTTTAACGTTTGTGTATGTGAAAAAACAAAGTAAAGACGTGATGAGGCACTCAGTGAGGATCGTACTCATTCCAGTGTAGCCGGTTGATCGGCAAGACAAGCTTACACTGTGTCTAACTGCAAGAAAAATGTAACTCGTATGCCATAATAAACGGTGAATTAAGATTTTTTTTTTTCCACCACGAAAAAAATGTGTAGGGGGGAAAAAAAAGGTAGGGATTTATCAAATATTTTTTATTTTTTTAACTATTTTAGTAGGTGACAAATCATTTATGTCACCTAAAATAGTTGAAAAAATATGAGATAGCACATAAAACCCCACCTCTCACCTAGAAAACAATGAGTGAAAAATATTAGATGGAAAAAGAGGTTTTATATGCCAAGAAAATGGCTTAAAATATTAGCTGGCATGTTAAAAAAAATAAAATGGCTACATTTTATATATAAAGTTTGAAGCATCTGGTAGTCTAGTCAATAATAGTCTGATATTTTAAATGTAAATTAGGGAGGGGTCTTGTGCCAAAATAAGCTACTGGATTTGATGGTATACAAGGTCACAATATTTCAATTTGTTATTAAATCCATTTAATGCAAATCCAGTGATGGACTTGGTCACTTTAAGCTTATCTTTGGAGAACAGACTTCAAATTCAACTTTCTACAATATATTTTATGTTATATATGCCACTCTTATTGTTAGTTGTCAATATTGTATTTTTTTAATTTTAAAACAAAATTTCTTTTAATCAGATATCTCCATGTGAAAATAAAAAAATAAATAATAATTGATAACAAGCTGAAATCTAATTTCCAGCAATCTAAAAAATGCCATAATTTAGTCAAATAAATGTTGCTTAATATACTGATAAACACTTTCAGTTACCATAACCATTTTCAAAAACTGGTATCTGAATATGACCAGGGGAAATTTTTATATATATATATATATATAAAAATCAACTTTGGACACTGTATTCATAACATCAATCCTCATTCAGAAATTGGAAAGATAATAAAAAGTTGAATAGACAGACCTTGTCAGTTGAATTTTGTGTGTATATATTATAAGATTGTGTGTGTGTATCTGCATGTCATATAACATTGGCAAGTCACCACTTGTTGTGGATCTACACCTGGTTGGACTAAAAGCAGTAGCAAACTAAATGAATACATGTAAACAATGGGTTGTCATTACTTGTAGAGGTGAAAGGAAATGAAAATATCACCTTTATTCCAGGTTTTATAGATGGCTAATAAATGATTAAAATATAAATTATATAAAATACATTCTTTCTTTTCAATCATTTTGCATACAAGTATTTATTAAAATCTAGCTATTAGGAATTGTGTGTGTGTCTATATATAAAAGTTCAGTCACTCTGGAAAAGATTAGCACAGGACTTGATTCCAGCTTGAAGATAGTGTTAAACTACTGTATGCTAGAAAGAAAGAAAAAAAAAAACAGGAAGTATCCCATTTTTATAATGGTTTGCTAAGATGCTGTTAGGTGGTACTGTTAAACCAAGTGGGAGTAATCCCACAGCATCAACTTGTAATTTTAGACCTACCTAAATGTTTGATTATAGTTCTACAATATAAGTGAAGCACTTTCATCTTTCTCTCTTTATTCCATCAAATTTTATAGGAGAAAAAAATATTCAAGCTAATAACATTTCCTTTTGAATTCAGAGTTTTCTAGTTGTCAATCAATTCTGGAGAATCCAATTAATCCTGCTATTTAACCTGTAATTAGTGAGGAGCAATAGTGTCATTTATTATAAAGTTAACCAACTGTATCAGCAGCAAAAATGAAATTGACAAGCCGAGTTCAAATTTGGCTGTTAACCATCAGTTAAGATATTTTATTCAGATGGTTTCAAAATTGTCTCAGTCCAAGATTTTAACTGGTAAGTTGAAGTCACAGAACAAATGGTCAGTGTTATACAATGATCAGTGTAGTTATAAAATCTGTACTATTGAGCTAGGACCAAGGCTGTTTGGTGTTTCAACATGATGTGGCTGTAACCAATCTCCAGTTCTTGTACAAAGTTAAGCAATGTCAAGCCTGGTCAGTACCTAGATGGTTGACTGCTTAGAAATATCAGGTGTTGTAAGCTTGTATATGCAATAGCTTGGAATTGGAAAGCAGTTCCAATTCCCATTAGGTTCATTATATCCACTTATGCTTAAATAGTTTTGGGAAAGTTATGAATCCACTTCTCCCCCAGATATAGGTTAATTAATAAGACTTGTATCAGTAAACAATTATTATCTAAATAAAAACAAAATCTTCAGTATCTGTCTATATTTCTTAGATGAGGTATTATGTACCCTATTTACATTATTTGGACTATTGTCCTCATCTTTGTCACCATATTTATCACAACGTTTCAGCCGTTGTACACTCCGGCCTTCTTCAGGTGGTTGGAATGTGGAACTGAACTCTTTATTTCACTCACTGAGGTAGACTGTTCTAGTTCCACGTGCCATGTTTTAATGGATGTCAGTTATCAGTTATCTCCTGTTAATTCCCCTCTCCTGTCTTGCTGATGACATTAGGTTTATAATACCCAGAAATTCATACACAGATATTCTCAAAAACACATGGCACAGTGGGTAAAAGTGTTGGTTAGATCCAGTGACAGGACCCAAAGAGTGTGAGTTCAATACAGTGGAGGACTTGGATGTCAGTTATCTCCATTAAAACATGGCTCATGGAACTAGAACAGTCTACCCCAGTGAGCAAAATAAAGGGTTCAGTTCAACATTCCAACCACCTGAAGAAGGCCAAAGTGTACAATAGCCAAAACATTGTAATAAATATGGTGACCAAGATGAGGACAATAGTCTGAATAATGTAAAAAAAATCTTGTCAGAATTGTTTTTTTTAAATATGTTTTTAAAATTAGAAGCTTTTGCTAATTGTTTATAATGTGATGTAAAAAAGAAATTAATGTACTAGAACTGTTTATATACATTCAGATAGATGAATTAAAAAAAGAAATTTTAAAAATATGATTCCTTTTTTGTTTTAACATAAATATTATAAGTTTAAATAAATAGATTTATATGATACAAGACAATGGGATGCATGTGCTGATGATGTAATATAATTTTAAAGTCTACATTAATGTATATAAAAGTATTTTATTTTCTTTCCAGGGGTGAAAACACTGTTTAGGTTTCCTAAAAACAAAATTGATATTCTTAAAATAATGTATTACTATTTTGACATAATAAAATTAGTAACTTATTACAAAAGAGAATCCCATCTGGTGTCATTGTTTAGAAGTTTGTTTCTTTGTAAGAAAAAAATGTTATAGTAATTTTTTCATAATGAAAACAGTAAATATGAAAAGAGGAGAGGTTTAATTCTGATGAAACATCTGTCAATAACAGACTTAAATTTAACAATTTCAAAATGGATTCACAAGAGATCTAAAGTTCATCATTATCTAAATCGGCATTTCCCAACCTTTTTACCCTTGTGGAACCCTTGAAATAGTTTTCATGTCTTGGAGAACCATTGCATAAAAATTATTATATAGCATTATTAATATCTTGATCATAGTTCATGTGATAAGCATAATAAATATGTAGTAATAATAATGGACTCTCCCATCGGTTTTGATGTATGAGGATCTGACAGCTTAATTGATTCAGTTATGAAATTTTGTGCAATAATCTTAAGTGGCACTTAAGACCCGCTAGTGATTTACAAAGGAGGCCACATATGGAGAAAAGGTGAGCATTGTGAGATGAGATCACTGTTAGATTGGCTGACCTTTTAGATTTTGCTCTCACTTCTTGAAGATGATTCAGACAAGCAGATTGAAAACTGCTGAGTCCACTAAAACACATTAATCTCCATTCTACCCGCTCCAAGGCTAAGCGCTCAAGGGTGTTATGTGGTATATTGACATTTGTTGCTTTTTAGCTTGTCTTTGTATCTTAGCATATATATATATATATATATTTTTTTTTTTTCATAACTGACTTAGGGAAAACATGACCCTCATTTTTTGTTAAATTTATTAGCAATGCAAAAAAA